TGTGAATAAAATATATTCTTTTATATATATTCGATCAGAAGTTGTTTATTTAATAACGGACAACAATAATTTAAAACCTCCTCGAGTCACATTTTTTTGCTGGTCCCTTGAAATTTGACTTAGAGAGGTTTGACTGTGTATTTCTTAATTTTACACATTGGCTCACAATTCCACTGCTTTTCAATTTGACCCTATAGTCTTTCAATAGATTAGCCCTTGTGCAGCAAAGTTGGGATATATTTGCAAAATTTCATGTCACTGACAACTGGGAATTTTAAAAATTCAACTTTTGTACAAAGGCCTGAGTCGGGGAAAAGTCCAACAATGTTTTTCTAATCCAGCAAAAAATTTTAGATGAGAAATAGAAAAAAATCCCTCAATGGGTGGCGTTTTTATTTTTGCATTCCTGGCATAGCATCATCATGGAAAATTCCTGTAAACAAAAGAGAATTTGTCTCCTGGATTTTTCCTTACTCAGGCCTTCTCAACCTGGGAGCATTTCAGTGACCTTGGGTCAAACTGAAATGCTCCACCCCCCAAAAATATCCTGACTTTGCCTCACAATGAAAATGAACCCTCTGCTGTCTGAGGGTTAATGTCAAATTGTGGGGTACTTAAAACCTGAACAGTACTGTATTTACAAGTATTATTATGAATGAATGAACAGATCAGCTTTATTTTCCGCTTTTCAGCGTTCACGAGGTTCAATCAACATCCCCACATCCAAACCCCCTCCCCTTTCTACCCGACCCCAATCCATTCAAAGGCATTCCATCACTTCATATTTTTATTATTATTATTATTTTGTTTTTGTTGGTGTGCTTTATAGTTACGCCTTCTGCAACGCTGTGACGGCCGTGTGGACCTGGTGGTTCGCCCACTCGAAACTGCTGGAACTCGGCGACACGGTGTTCATCGTGCTGCGGAAGCGCCACCTCATGTTCCTGCACTGGTACCACCACATCACCGTCTTGGTCTACACCTGGTTCTCCATGTCCAACTTTTCCAGCCACGGCCGATGGTTCGTCACCTGCAACCTGGCCATCCACGCCGTCATGTACTCGTACTACGCAGTTCGTGCCCTCGGGATCCGCATTCCCAGGTCCATTTCGATGGCCGTCACTTCCTCGCAACTCCTGCAAATGATCCTGGGCATCTTCATCAGCGTCAGCGCGTACGGGTTCAAGCGTCGCGGGGTTCCGTGCTCGGCAACCACTGCCAACTTGTTCGCGTCCTCGCTCATGTACATGAGCTACTTCCTGCTCTTCCTCAAGTTCTTCTTCGACGCGTATTTGGCAAAGTCCCTGGCGAGAGCGAAAAAGACCGACGGAGACCAGCTCGTCAAGGCGGCGATGACCAAGTTCGTGGAGAAGGAGACTGCGGATGTGGCAGCCAGGCTCAGGAGGATCCGCCACGCCGCGACGTATTAAGAAGAAAAATGGCACTACGCGAAATGGCAAGCAACTGCACACGGGACAGAAAAGAAGAAGAAGAAGAAGAAGATGGGGAGACGAGTTCTTCTAATCGACTGCGAAAAAACGAGTTTGTTTGCTTATTGATGCACCCGGGTTGCACTGGGGACTTTCATTCTGCTTCCGCGGGCCCGAAAAACTTTCGAGCACAGCTTGAGGCATGGCAGCAGCAGCAGCACAGAAAGGCTGTTCGTTTGAAGTTGATGGAACTGCGCAAAGCAATTTGATTTCATGCTGTGCGAGACATTATGAGTGTTTCTGTGTGTGTGTGT